TGATATTACCGTTTAAGATAACATTTCCTGGAAAATAAATAAAATCAATAAAAAATAATAAATTTTTATAAAAATAATTTTTTATTACCATTGTTCTGTCCTGCATTATGTAATTCCAGATTTTGGTTATAATCTGCTAATGGATCTGCCAATGGATCTGCCAATGAGTTTGCCAATAAATCTGCCAAATTATCGTTTGCTAAAAAATTTTATTAAATCAAATATAGTCTAATATCATTTCTAAAAATGTTGTTAAAAGAACCTAAATTGATAATAAATTTTGTTTATATGTGTACATGCAACGATTTGTCCCAAAAATAATGAGACTAATTGATTGAAACTTATGTTAGACGCACTGAATAAAAAAACTTATTATTATTAAGCTTGATTCGTCTTAACCATACTAACAAGAAAAGAAACTCAAGTATCTCCCTCCGATTTTGATGAGCTTTTAATATGTAATTTCTGGACAAAATCAAGAATTAAGCTACCGCATATTCGTGTCTATTCGCACTTTTAAGGGGTGAAACATCCTTTAGAAGAAAATCGGTTTTTTTAATTTCAGAGCAAAATCGTCGAAACTACGAGATATAGGAAAAATGTTCGGAATAAAAGTTGAATGAACTTGAATTGAACTTTAAGAGTACTTTATAATTACATTATTTTATACAAAAACAATTTTTTTATAATCACAAAATTATTTTTTATAATTTAAAAAAGTTTTTAAATTATAATTATAAAGTACTCTTAAAGCTATTCGAATTTTATTATAAATATTTCTTTTTACTCTGATATATACACAGTGCGGTACATAAGTTTCCGGACTGATTTCTTTGCGGTCTTCCCATTGACGCTATTTATCGAACGACTGTCGAACTACGCAGTGTGAACTCTTTTGAACAGCCGTGTTGAGTGGCATCATTTTAGCCGCGGTTGTTGAAGAGTGCGGACGTCTGATATAACCTGATGTTGTGTATGTATGTCAGACTACACAATACCAGGTTATATCAAACGTCCGCACTTTTCAACTGCGGCTAAAATGATACCATTCAACACGGCTGTTCGAAAGGGTTCACACTGCGTAGTTCGACAGTCGTTCGATAAATAGCGTCAATGGGAAGGCTGCAAAAAAATCAGTCCGGGAACTTATGGACTGCACTGTGTATGTACTCTGAAGATATTTACTCTGAAGTACAAAAAAACCGACTTTTTTCTAAGGAATATTTCACCCCTTAAAAATGCGAATGGGCACGAATATGCGGTAGCTTAATTCTTGGTTTGTCTAAAAAATAGCATATTAAAAGCGCGCGCGCGTGTGTGTAAAACTTTTTTCTTAAATTGCTTTATAGTCATTCCAAATAAATACATTGAACAACAATAAATAATATTAGACGAAAGTGTAAATATACAATAAAATAAGGAGAAGACTTATTCGGTAAAGTTGGATTTCAATGCTTAATAATAATATTTAGAAGTCTGAATTTATGTACAGCCGTGGACACATCGGTTGCGACACTTTTTTTTGTAAGTTTCTAATATGTATTTAATATACATAATATATGCTTTATAGATAACTAATAATATTTTGCAAATGCAAACCACGATGTTACTATCTTTAGTTTAAAGACAGTATAACACCCATCGTGATCTGCATTTGCAAAATATTAATGCGTTTTGAAATCTATAAAAAAAAAGTGTCGCAACCGATGTGTCCATGACTGTACATATCCAGTTTTGTAAACTGCGCGTTGAAAATTTTAATTTGAAATTGAAATTACTGAAAATAAGATAAAAATATAACAAATTAAATAAACAAGCAATTTAAAAACATTGATGCTAATACGTATCTTAAATGTAATTTTCAGCGCGTAATTTGTAGAACTAAACATATATATATATAATATTGTATATGAATTTACACCGAAATAGAGGTGTGCGAATAGTTCGAATTCGAATCGAATCAAATCGAATCACAGTAGATTCGATTCGATTCGTTTTCGAATCTGCAAGATTCGAAATCGAATAGTTCGAGAATTTCGAATCAACAATGGTTTGATTTCGAATTGATTACTTAACGTAATGTTAATCTGGAAAAATTTGATTCAGATTCGATTCGTATTCGAATTAAAGAGATTCGATTCGATTGGATTCGAAATAAAAATTTCAGATTCGATTCGATTCGATTCGATTCGACCATGCAAATGCTTGATTCGCACACCTCTACACCGAAATATTTTTCAGATCCAATTTGACAAAATTAATTAACCTTTTCTATGTTTTTCTGATATGAACGTAAAAATAGTGTTCCAAAAATACTTTAAAAGAGAGTGAGAGAGAGAGAGAGAGAGAGAGAGAGAGAGAGAGAAAGGGAGACCAAAAAGTATTTTTTGTGTTATTTCTTTTATATTACCTGACATATTCTATATTAAAAACTTATATATTTTTATATTTTGCTTATATTTTTTACTTATAGTACAATAATAATCTCACATGAAAAGATCGG